AAATAAAGAAAGAAAACCCAACTATGTTTTGTAGTTTTAAGTTTCATGCATATGTATTTTTCGGAAGAATTTACCCTGGTGCATATCTGATCCTTGCAATATAAGATTGAATAGAATCAATGCATTTTTTGCTGCTACTTGCATATTCTGAACGAGGATCTAAAAATGTAAAATTTAGATTCTCTTGCTGCAGTATATATGTTTGGAATGATTTTTCTTGAGAGAGCTGGAAATCACTATCTTGTTAGAAGGTTTTAGACATCTGAACTTGCCACCACACACCGTGCTTATTAAAAAAGAGAGTTTTTAAATTTGTTAGAAGATAGGAGAGATTTAAATTCATATTATGTAATTAAGGAAGTTTCTTCCTTGAGGATCATTTAATAAAATATGAAGATTAAATATTTTCATCTAACATAGACCAAAAAATTGGAAATTTTAAACCATAATTCAGTAGTACTTTTCGTTTCTTATTTTGTAAATCGTGAGGCAGTGAAATAAACACACCTGGAAATTCTGGATTGCTGGTCACCTTTTATTACGCAGCGAGGGATTATTTTTTTTCCTTTTTTCTGAATGGAGACATATTAGATTGTCTCTCCCACTTTGGTAACCGATTTATACAGAACCAATCTACGGACTTCACAATGAATCTTGGCTTGTAAAGAATTGCAAGTGGCTCTTTCTACCTTGCATTATTACCAGCTTCTCCATTAATGGATTTTAATTCACAATGACCGGGGGGGAAATATGCCTATTCTGTTTCCTTTCATTTCATGTATGAAGGATACTTTGAATTTATAAAGATACCCACCATTGCTGGTACGTAGCTACTTGGAAGCTCTAGCCATTCAAAATTTTAGAGGACGCTTGTCAGAACAGCCTACATTAACTCCTTGATTTATTGAGAACCACCCCAAGTTGGGGATATTCTCCTCAATTTGGCATGATAAAATCTCAAACTTCCCAAAGACATCATTCAGAAAAAGAACCTCCATACTGCCTTGATGCCTGGTTGGTGCCCTATGTGCAAGGAAAATGCTGAAACCCTATGTCAACATTTTAGCTCAGGTTCCTTTGCTGCTCAATTGTGTTTGCAAACCCTTCTCCCCCTCCGCACTTACTCCATATTATCTATGTAGCTGGAAGTCCTTTTTCTAAGGAAAAGAAAACTATTCCTCTGCAAAAAAAGAAAAGATACTTTGTGAAGGCATCTTTTTGGTTTAGAAGCAATAGGCTTTTCAATAGCATAGAAATATATTGTGACAAAATCCTGGACCATGCTCTCTCATGGTGTAAATTTTATGCTCGTTACCACTTTACAATCTCTGTTATTTTTGTGACAATTGGCCAATTGGGAGAGTTTTTTTGTAACTTCCTTGGCTTGAGTTTAGCTTTTCCTCCTCTTTTTGTAAGTTTATATCATCTATGAAATGTCTTGTTATTATGGGGCTCGGTTTCTCATCTCTTTTGTAATTATTCGCTTGACCTTATTTTTTGGATTGGAGCCCTTTTTCTTTAGGGGCTTCCTCTTGCTGGGCTGTTTTTTGTATGCCCTTTTTAGGCCTTTTGGTGTATATTTTGTATCCTTTTCATTTTTCTCATTCGTATAAAAAAAACTATATAACTTGCAAAACTCTTCTTAGTGAGTCTGCTTTTGAAATAACAATTGAGTTTTGCCTTTTCTAACACCTCCAACCAGATCCTTAGAAGCATCATTAGACATCCTAAGCACTAACCAATATTTCTTGACATAAAAATTTGGGTGCTTTGGAATGTGAACAAAATGCCAGAATCTTTCGAAATAGTGAAAGAAGC